TTCGGGGCCCTCGTGAGCCTGCGGCTGCCCTACAGCAACGTGGACGTGCGGCGCCTGCCGCCCGGCGCCGACCTGGGCGGCCTCGCGGCGCAGCTCGGCGCGCTCGCCCGCCTCAAGGAGCTCAACCTGGGCTCGTCCCGGCTCTCGGGGCAGCTGCAGCTGCTCCTCGGGTGAGCTCCCGGCAGGGCTCTGGGCGCAGCCTGCACTTTTGGGGGCGCCTGGGGTGTTTTGTGCATCTTGGTTCATGCACTGCCTTGGCCATAACTTGCTCGAGTGTCATCACGCTCATACCCTCACGCAGGTCTCAGTCCCTGTGGGCTTTTGATGGCCCTGGGCACCATTGCTGCTTAATTAGTGTTACTGCGAGCTCCGGTTCAGCTGGAGCTTGGATCTTAGCTCCTGCCCGTGGCGGTAGCGGCTTCTGGGCGCTCACGTTCCTGCCATTCCCATAGAATCCCAGAATGGGTGAGGTTGGAAGGGACCTCTAAAGATCACCCAGGCCAGCCCCCTGCTCCAGCAGGGACACCCAGAGCACAGGGCACAGGGTGGCATCCAGGCAGGTTTGAAGATCTCCAGAGAAGGAGACTCCACAGCCTCTCTGGGCAGCCTGTGCCAGGGCTCTGGCACCGTCACAGGAAAGAAGATCTTCCTCACATGGAGATGGAACTGCCTGGGTTTCAATTTCTACCCATAAATTTATTCCCACCCCACAGCACCCTGCAGGGTCCCCTGGAGAGCCTGGAACTGCCCTTCTGCTCACTGCTGCCCTGCGACCTCTGCTACCTGTCGCAGAGCCCGCACGCGCCGGCGCTCAAGAAGCTCGACCTGAGCGGCAACAACCTCTCGGCGTCGCTGCTGCAGCCCTTCGTGGAGCTGCTGGTGGCGGCCGCGGCCTCCCTGCTGCACCTGGACGTCATGGAGTGCCGCCTGCGGGATGCGCAGCTGCAGGCGCTGCTGCCGCCGCTGCAGCGCTGCGCCCGCCTGCGCTCCCTGGGCCTCTTCGGCAACCCGCTGTCCATGGCGGCGCTCAGGGCGCTGCTGCTGGGCACAGCGCCGCTGCCCGACCTGCGCCTCGTCGTCTACCCCTACCCCGTGGACTGCTACCGCGACGACCTGCCGCCCTCCTCCTCCTCGTCCTTCCTGTCCGACGGCGCCGTGGACGAGGAGCGGCTGGCGCGGGCGGCCGCGGAGCTGCAGGACCTGCTGCGCAGCGCCGGCCGTGCCGACGCCGTGTGGACCACGAGCCTGAGCGCCCCCGGGGTTCCGGACTGCATCGAGCTGTAGTGCGCGGCGCCAGCACGTGTCCCCTCCCACGCTCACCAGTGTCCACAGCCCTGTCACCTTGGTGGCTCAAGCCCTTTTTCCTCCTGAATTTTGGGGCTTTCTCATCTTTTTTGGCTGTTTTTGTGTCCTGTGGCCACCTACGATGTGCCCTGCTCACCCGCTTTGCTCCCTGTTGGCAGCACCGGGGCTGCATCCCCGGGTGTCCTCCGGCCCCCGCCCCAGCCCCTATGGGCACCCACGGCAGGAGCGTCTCGAGGCAGCTCCCACGTGAGCGCCTGCAGCCCCTGCAGGGCTGCCCCGGAGCCCCAGGAGGACCCGAGCTGCAGCGTGTGCAGGGCTGGAGGCGGCTCGAATCCTCACCCTAAATGACCCTAACCCTAAGCCCCAACCCTAAACCCTAACGGAACCTAGCCCCTAATCCTATCCCTAATCCTGAATGACCCTAACCCCTAAGCCTAACCCTTAACTCTAACCCCAACTCTAACCTAACCTTAACCCCTAACCCTAAACCCCATCCTCCAACCCCTAACCACAACTGCTAACCCTTAACCCTATCCTTAACCCTAAACCCTAACCCTAAATGGCCCTAACCCCTAATCCTAACCCTCAATCCTAATCCTAACCCTCAACCCTACCCTAACCCTAATCTCAACCCTCATTTAACCCTAACCCCTAACCATTACCCTAACCCCCAGCCCTAACCCCAGCCTCCAACCCCTAACCATAACCCTTAGCCAGGAGAGCGACGCCAGCAGCACCTGCCCTCCTTGTCACTGCCCTCATTGCGCCCGCGCTGGCCCCTCGTCCTCTGTCACAGGGTGCTGGTGGCAGCGGTGACACTTGGACGGGCCCCCAGGTGGAGGGGTCCAGGCATGACCATGAGCTCCTCAACCCCAACAACCCCCCAAGACCCTTCCCGCTGCCCCCCAGCTGCCCTCTGGTGACACTGTCACCCCTATCATGGTGACACCCCCCCCGGGCCCGGCCCCCCCGGCCCCGGCAGCCCCAGCCCTGCAGACCCTGATGTGGGGGCGCTGCTGTCCCCAAAGAGGGACCTGATACCCTCTGGGTCCCCTACGGGTGGGCCCCGGGGGGTCCTGCCCCAATGTAGGGGTCCTTGGTGGTGTCCCCAAACCAGGGTGGGGGGAACGACAGGGAGACTCCCAAGCACAAGGGAGGTGTTTGAGAGAGTCGCTAAATTCAAGGAGTCCCCAAACCTTGGGGACACATGGAGGGTCCCTGGACACATGGGGACCCCACAACCTTGGTGGTGGGATGATACATCAGTGTCCAAACCCTGGGGGACATGGCCTCTCCCATAGCCAGGGAGGACACATGGGGGTCCCCAAACAAGCAGGATGGGAATGGGAAGAGGGG